TCGCGAGCACACAGACATATGCATACTTACACACACGTCTTCATATACAGACATATATATCCTCCAGCTCACCAGGAATAGCCGCAGGTTCCACCAACGAAGTCGCATGCAGCAAAGTCGATTCAGGGAGGTGTCGTTTCCCGTTTGTCATCGCATGCGTAGTCGCATTCGCATTAGCCTTGGCCGCAGCCTCTCCGCGTGCAAGGGCCATATCTCTCTGTACTAGATCGTAGGCTACACGGTGGTAGTCACGTTTGTGTTCCGTGTTGCGCTTGTACAGGTGCTGCCTGAGATTGCTTTGGCTGAGCACTTTGAGTTTCTTGGAGGACGCGGAGAGGGGGCAGATCCGGCAGGCGGCGTATCTGTCGCCGGTCTCGGGATCTTTCAGTAGAATGAAATATCTGAATGAAGGGGAATGTGAAAGTACATCAGAATATAAACTTAGCTTATGATATCTTTCAGTAGAATGAAGTATCTGAATAAAGAGAAGTGTGAAAGTACATCAGAATATAAGCATATTTTTATTATATCTTTCAGTAGAATATAGTATTTGAAAAAAGAGGAGTGTGAAAGTACATTAAAATATAAACTTATTTTATTATATCTTTCAGTAGAATGAAGTATCTGAAGAAAGAGAAGTGTGAAAGTACATCAGAATACAAACTTCATTTGTAATATCTTTCAGTAGAATGAAGAATCTGAAGAAAGAGGGGTGTGAAAGTACATCAGAATACAACCTTCATTTGTAATATCTTTCAGTAGTATTGAGAGTCTGAAGAAAGAGGGGTGTGAAAGTACATCAGGATATAAGCTTATGTTGATATATCTTTCAGTAGAATGAAGATCTTAATAAAGTGGAGTGTGTGCGGACATTGTGATATTGATTACTTTGCTGATAAATTCAGTGATGGGTAGATGAATAGAGGAGTGCGTAATGTTATCATGATAACTTTCCTTGCCGATACGGCTCAGCAGAATGGATCACCTGAGAATAAAGGGAGATTTTAGATGACGTGGTGTCATGAAACTCGCCGATGAAAAGTATCATGTGTTGTGGGAATTGGCAAGCAAAAGTACGAAAACCCGCATGTATCAGAGGTGCATGTGTACATATTTAAGGCAATGAAAGTCGAAGATGTATGTTGTCTAGGTATTCCGCATGTATTTGTATAGGTCTGGGCTTAACCGCAGAACATTTGTGTGCCCAATATAAAAGTTTTGGAGACAGTACAATCAGATCATGAAGACCGAGAAGCAAGCAGAATACAGTCAGTTATATTGAGTTTCGAGCCGGATGTCTATACAGTGACAAGTCACAATGGGATTAGCACATACAGTGCCCGATCATATATGCGTCATGCACGCGTGTGATCGACACGTACGTAAGACCTTACAACGCGCACTGTACGGCACTATCGCCCCAGACGCCCAGCTTGTCCATAGAAGCAACCAGGCGCATATGTAGTAATATACAAACAGAACACACGCCAGTGCATGAAAGCATACATCAATAGACCCGATGATATATATACCTCGGAAAGCCATCGCACACATACACACACACCAACACCAAAACCAACTGGCACATACTTAGTATAATGTGAGATGTTAGAGCTGACCAGATCCCCGGGCGTGAACTTTGAGAAGGCCGGACAAGTCCACATATCGTCCAATTCCCACATAGGAACCACCGTATCTACCGTCTGTAGCGAAGAATGCCCATGGGTCTCGTCATGCCTCGCCACTTCCGCATGTATATCTGGACTAGTGCTTCCTGAGGTAGCGTAATCCCAGGGGACCAGCAGTACACGGTTCAATTAATTTGAATATAGGTGCGTTGTCGGTGCGGGTATTAGAAATCCCAATGACTCAAGACAATGGGCAGTGAGAGATAAAAAGGGAAGTTGGGGTGTTTGCGCTATACGCGCCTTGTCACTATACCGTTTCCTGGGCATCGTGGCTGTGGAACCCTCAGAGAACGTCTTGGCGTTCATTGATACGCAACTTTGCACATCGGTGCTTATTCTGGGTATATCCGAGTGCATTTCACCATGCAATACAAAATAACAACCATCACGTGCACGGTGACGATTTTAGAAGACTATCCTACAACAAACCTAGAAACAAACAAAACATCAACGTGTGTGAAAGAAAGTGCGGTACCTGTAGCGGTGCCTCTCCTGACTCTCATCCCCTGCGATCGGTCGTAGAGGGTCATTTGCACTTGTTCGTAGGCCAAGGTGTGGGGGTTGTCGGGTGTCATGAACTTTTGTTTGCGCAGATGCTGTGCCAGATTACTGGGGTTGTAGTATCGGATGGGCTTTGTGTTGGCATGTATCGGACATATGCGGCAGAAGGCAAACCTGCGTGTGCGGGTGCGTGCATGTCCTTGTTTAGTCTTTCTGCGGCTGAAGAGGTTCATTCGATGGTTCGGGTGCGCGTTTCTTTCGCACGGGGCTGGTGAGGCCAATCAAAACCAAGTATCTCGTTTAAAAAAAAAAATCTCAAATGTATACGTATTCATTCAGAAATCAGACTACTGTGCAATAAACCGTGGAGTACCCCACTTCCTCATGAATAGATGTACATCCGTGGTTCGCAAACGTGCGCTCTTCGTGAGCTACATTTAGAACAAGAACTCTCACGACCCCAAACGCACACATACAGACACAAGCGCTGCATAGAAGACTGTCTACCCGTGCCTGTGCATACTCGACCGTCTACTCATCCACCAGGTACTGCAATTCTACCCACCTCATTTCCTCCCGGTTCTTGACCATGTAAAAGTACTGTGAGTACGCCGCCTTGTTATTGCTGAGCTCCTCATCCTTCCTAAACACTTGTCCAAGTTCTGCAATGGTATCAAAGCCTTCGTCCGGCCAGAGTGTTATGCTCGCTGCCGCACTCCTCTGGTGTGATGAGAGCGTGCGTGGTCGAGACTGTAAACCGAGCACGCCTGCTCTATACAGTGCACCTGTGTGAGTGCATGAGGTGTACATTCATAAGACAGTTGCGAGGCGCTGCCTGAGATCATGGTTCTGAATGCGGACGTGATAGCAGCTTGATTATTGATATATGTCTGACTGGTTGATACATGCATACTTGTTGTTGTATATATATATATGTGATATGGAAATTTGGAGTTGAGGCCAACTTCTGCATGCATGGTGCGAGTGTTTGAATTACGCCTGCACTTAGATGACAGTGTATGTGCCCGCGTGATACTGTACATGAGATTGTAAAGCTGTTTAAGTATGCGTATGTATTTGAAAGCGAGTGAGTGTGTATGTACGTATGTGTTAACGTATGCATGTACAAGTGTAAATTTGGATATCTCATGTAGATGTGCATGTAAATATAAAATACATTTACAAATACCGAACTGTTGATGCGGGAGAATGTATAATCTAAAGTCGATGCAAACGCCTGTTCATAGAAGAGCCATAAGAAGTATATATACGATTTGAAAAGGAAGTACATACGTGTGTACGTGTCCATACAATACCAGTGTATGCATGTATGTAGCACATGCTTCAAACTGTGTGTGAGAGTGCACATATATAATGCCCTGGGATGCATATACACACTGACATGTCACACATAAAAGCCATGTTCGTACCGAATTGCTGCACTGAAAGCAGTGTCAGCATGCATAGAATATGAACAGTATCTGTCAAGATATTGTCATTTCACCGGTGTGGCTTGATTTTCAGATGGGGTTGCAGCTGTATGTACGCAATGGTTGCTGTCATGTGTAATTTTGTCTGAACTCGGTGATATTGTACTCATCGAAAGTCGACATGGAATCGCGTATGGTGTACCAATATACTCTGATGCGCTAAAGCTCACAGCAGCATGCACTGTTTGAAGAAACATACACTTGGAGACATGGAGCCAAAAAATACACTCACTCGCATCGTACATCTTTGCAACTAAACCACCACAGTAAGACATGAGTGTCGGTGTACACATGGCCACATACCTGCGCCGTCGCTGATGATGTTTTTGATTTCTTCATACGCCCGGCGGTGCATATCCGATTCGGCTTTCCCCGTGCGCTTGTTCAGATGTTGGAACAGGTTTGTGCTGTTGCTCAGACTGAGTGTCTTCACCGTCTCCGTGAGCGGACACAGCCGACAGAAGGCTGTCTGTTTGACCTCGTGCTCGGGGTTACTGTGCGTAAGAATGAGAAAGTACTTCTCAAACCTCGCAAACCTCCCCGAATCAATCTCGTCTCGACTGTATGCCCGCCCATGAGTCTGGTGGTTGAAGAAGTCCTCAGTCGACCACAGCGTAGCAACGCCACTACCTCCAGCACCACCGCCTAACTCAGTATTCGAAAATAGGGCTAATGCGTCTGTTTGAGGTTGATATTGGGTCAGTTCCTGTGGGTGGGTGAGTGCGTATAAGTGCATGTGTGTCTGCGTCGACTGATGTGGGTGCTGTGGTGGCTGGTGCTCTTGTGTCTGCGTCGATGCCTGCAGGTTCATCAGCGGCTGTATGCCCTGTTCAGCGTCATGGTCTATCTCATACTGTGTTGATGTGTGCATAACTGTATGCATGTGGGTATTGGCATTCGTGTGCGTGTTGGCATGCGCTTGTGCGAGCGGATCTGAGAGGTGGTTCTGTTGGCTTGTATTGGTACCCCCCGTTCCGAAAGCCTGTACATAGTCAGTACTAATATCCATATCATGTGTGTGAATCAACTGCAACGTCTCGGGGGCTTCTTGCGAATGTGTCTGTGCCTGCGGTTGATTCTGTACATGCGGTTGTGGTTGCGTTTGGGTTGTGCGGTTAGTGTACGCATGTAGTGCGTCGGACGATGCCAAGTCAATAGCAGACAGAGCAAGCTCTTGGGCGTGGTGATTCTGACTCATAGTGCATCGTATCCGCAGCTACGGCGGTACACAATCGAATATTACTGATCAAGATATCAAAGGCGATGTGTTTTACTGTTGATAATGTTTAGGAAGTGAATGTAGTGACAGTGTAGTGATACGCATGCAGGGGTTTGCTGTTGGCATCCAGGTGTGGTCAGTTCAACATGCATGCGTTTCAACGGAAGCCCAGTGAACCACTTAACTGGACTCGGCTAAACATACAGCGTGCGAGGCTATCTAAGTGCACGTGAATACATGAATGCATGTCCCGCCAAAACTTGGAATGGTTGATCGAGTAATCGATATCGAAAGCTCCAGAGATCAAACTGATAACACGCACCAAATATTAAAAGAGGTATTTAGAGATGACTCTTATCAAAGGTCGACTATTAGTTATAAATTTGTGCTTTATGTATTAGTTCGTAGACTGTAGACTGTGCCGGTTCGGGTTGTCAGTTCTTGACTCCTTTGCCGTTTTTTTTTAATATTCAGCCCTTCTTGCCCAAGAAGAGGCAACGGGTACATACTAAATTTCAAGACTAAAAGTATTAAAATTAGAATACTTTTATTTAATGTTGAAAATAGTTCCTGGACTATGTACTACTAGTTGAGGATAGATCGGTATTAATAAAACTAATGTATTTAAATTTATTTTTTTTAATATTATATAAAAAGTTCCTGGTGAATAAAAATTATCAGTTTGCACCTCTGAGCTGGTATTGAGATTTAGGACTACAATACGAACATGTTTGATACAAAAAAAAATCTAATTCCGTGTCAGAAAAAGAGCCGGTTCTAGAGACTGATATTCTATTGGATGAATAAGGGGAAGCGCCAAGCCGAAACCGAAAGTTGTGCAATGTGCACCTAAAATATTTCTCTTGGCACCTAAAATATTTCTCTTGACATTTTCAGCCCATTTTACATACTAATAGGTGCAACCAATTTTGTACCTCGACTCGCGACACCGGACTGATGACTCCTCGTGTGAGTATGCGCTACCGAAATTGAGATTTGGCTTTTCCAACACAAGCTCTCCTTTCAAAACAGCTTATGGATACTTCTTGTGAAATAAAGTAATACACGACGACAAATACGTATCTGGTAATCACGAACACATACAGTCGAGACTATCGCGTATATAGTAACCCTACACAAACACTTACATATACTTCTCTAATATACAAACATGCCAGGAAAAGCTCAACCCCCAGAAATCAAAAAGTAAGTTTGCTGTTTGCACTCCTGTTTATTTGGCGTTACCGTAAAGCGCCTTGACTGCTGATGTGTATTTTAAGCTTTGCACAAACCATTGTAAGTTTTCTCCGGAGGCAGTCTGTGGTTAAATAACCCAGACTGCATATCCATCTATTTGACATATCGTCGATAACCATCTATTCATAAATG